CTGATCCGCCAAATCCCAAGCTTCCTCCGTATCTTTATCGTACCATTGCATCTCAACAAACTCCTCATCTTCCGCCCGTTTCCTTGCAGCTAAAGCTCCACTGTATCGTGGTGCGGAGTCGTCTGACGACTTCACCGTCATCTACATAGCACAGTTAGCTTAATTCAGTTATTGCCTATCGTTATGCCTACCTGTACAGCGCGAATCTCTTTCGGTTTAGCTGGGTCTTGCTTAACTGACCTAGCGATTTCTTTCTCTGTCTGAGCATCTTTATCGACATACGTAAAGCTCGGTCGAAGCTGGCATGTTCCTTTCACTGGCGTCAAATGTAATTCACCTACTCTTTTTAGCTGAGATCACCATAGCCATTCTGACAGGCCCTACCATCTTTAAATATTCCAATCATATAACCCTCTGACTTGGTCATGACACCTCCAAGTGTTTGCCTGTCCACTGCTCCCCATTTCTCGCCCTTCTCGTGATCGTAGAAGTGTGTAGTATTGATCGGGACATCGACCTGAACTACTCCTGACTCAGGTTTAACTCGAAGATCTAGAACAGGTTCACCTTGGCTGCCGGTATATGGACGCGTATTGGGCCGTACAGGATATTGAAATATATGCAAATGGGAAGCTAATCTGGAAGATAGGTAAATAGGAAAGCTTTTCACTATTGGATCATCGTCGTCAGCATCCAGTATAGGATTCTCGTTCGAACCAACTTTTGCGACGGCAGAAGTACTGGGACCAATATCTGAAGCCAGAGAAATATCTTTCATAACATCATCGTCTTCCTCTTTAATGACGAACGGAACAGAAGAAGGCTCCATGTTGGTGTCGAATAGATTAATCGATTCTCAGTAGAAGCTCGATTGTGGGGTGCCGAAGCAGTTGGGAGTTCTCGTTAAGTAGAAAAATTTCTTGACCTCAAAAACTCCCAATAGTTCTTCATTGATCGTGAATATTTTCATCAAATACAATTCACTTAGCAGACTTTTATTATGGCCGACGACGGGCTGCTACTTAACCTTACCGTTCCGAGTACTCCACTGCCAGTCTCATTGAGCGACAATATTATAAAGGGCAAGTGGACACAGCGATTAAGAGCAAAGAGAGCGATCCAGAGGTCGACCAAGAACCGCGTCAGGCAACTCGCATCACAACCTTCGAGTAGTCAGTCGAGCCAGAATGCAGCGCATTTAAAAGCTGAGAAACCACTACGGAGTAATAAAGGAAGTGGGAGCAATATAATTTTTGTCGAACGCAATCCTCGATCCCTACCTACGGCCGTTGGGAAGGAGGAGGGTTCATCTGCAGAACCACGAGGACGTTCATCCAACGGAGCCAATAAAGCTCCTGCCGGTACAAAGAAATTTGAATCTAGCCAGAGTAGTTCAATATCGTCGCATATCATATCTTCGTTGTTTACATCCAATCCCGAGACCGCTGCCGCAACCATTTCCAGGGAAGAAGTGCAATATGATCCATCGAACGCCCCACTCATCGACGACACCTCGTTTCAAGGGCTCGGTCTTCATAGTTTGCTTACATCACATCTTCAAGAGAAGATGCGCTTTGCTCATCCGACAGCTATCCAGCGCGCAGCTATTCCAGCCTTGATTTCACAAAATTCGCAAGATTTATTTATCCAAGCGCAGACAGGCTCTGGAAAGACTCTAGCTTATGTGCTTCCTATTATTCATGCTCTCATGGCTTCACCGGACAGGCTGACCCGCGAAAGTGGGTTATTTGCCATTGTTATTGCCCCTACACGTGAATTGGCCAATCAGATCTATTCCGTGCTGGAATCAGTTGTTCGCTGCTGCCACTACATTGTACCTGGCATTGTCATCGGCGGGGAAAAGAAAAAGTCGGAGAAGGCAAGGTTGCGGCGGGGTGTGAATATTTTGGTTAGCACTCCTGGTAGGCTTGCTGATCATTTCGACAACACTGAGGCTATGGATCTATCAGCAGTGCGATGGGTTGTCCTTGATGAGGGCGACCGGCTTATGGAACTAGGATTCGAAGAGACAATTACGAAAATTTTGTCGAAGTTACAAGAGAAGTCGAAAGCACATATCGATACTGTCAGAGGTTTGCCTAATCGCAGAGTGACTGTTCTATGTTCGGCCACATTGAAAGAGGATGTGGAGAAGCTTGGAAAGCAGTCACTCCATAATGCGGTGTATGTTAATGTGGACAGCAAGTCAACAGAGTCATCCAGAACAGATGAGTTTTCTGCCCCCGATCAATTGCATCAGGAATATGTCGTTGTTCCCATGAAATTGCGTATGGTATCGTTATTGGGCACCATAGTCAACATCATAAACACCCGAAATAACGCGAAAGTTATGATTTTCTTGTCTTGTTCGGATTCGGTCAATTTTCACTTCTCAATGTTGACACGAGCCAGTAACACCGACGACGGGTCCGAAGATGAGTCTGAATCTGAGAAAGCTGCAGAAGGCGAGAAAACGTCACTGCCTTCGCATGTTCTTAAAAATTATTTGAAATCGACGTCGCCAATGATATACAAGCTTCACGGATCTCTAAGTCAGCCAATGCGAAAGTCAACTTTGGCTTCATTCTCGAAGTTATCTTCTGGTCCTTCGGTTCTGCTGTGTACCGATGTCGCGTCTCGAGGGCTCGACCTTCCTTCTATCTCCCATGTTGTCGAGTTCGACCCGCCATTTGCCTTGGAAGACCATCTTCATCGTGTAGGACGCACAGCTCGAGTTGGAAACGAAGGTTGGTCAACGATTTTTGTATTACCCGGAAAAGAGGAAGGGTACATCGACAATGTGCTTGCGCCATTGCACAAGTCACCGCCGTTCCGACGAGATTACTCGGCTGTTTTAAGCGCCGCATTCGGTGGAAAACTGGTTTGGCAGGATATTGCAACCAATGCGCAGCTTGACGTTGAACGGTGGCTTCTGCAGAGTGCTAGTAATCTTTCACTCGCTAAAGACGCTTTCACCAGTCATGTTCGCGCATACACGACACACTTGTCTTCTGAAAGGCAATACTTCAGCGTGCGCGAGCTGCATTTGGGACATCTGGCCAAAAGCTTCGGCTTGCGAGAGACTCCAGCTACGTTAGGCAAAGCTAATAATGCCACTGCTGGAGGTGAGGTGTCTGGAGAAACGAGAAAGAAAAGGCTCGCGGATCAAGGCCCGGATTACGCGAAGAAGAAAATGTTGAAAATTGCTCTGATGCGCGCAAGTGCTAACGCTGATGAGTTTAATTTGGGCTAACAAAAGTTGGCCGTATATCAAGTTGCATTAATAAATTAGGCGTTCTTGGATGTATATTTGGTAATTTTAAAGAGCTGTTCATAGGTCACATATGGACTGGGATTTGGATTTATGTCAACGATAGTCAATAAGTATATTTACCATGAGGACTTCAATAAATTTACTTATCTGAAACATTTATCTAATCATACCACATCTTTATGAGCTCCTCACTGACCCCGCTGGAAGTCAACACGCCAATATCTGTGATCAGGGCGGTGATAAGATTATCACTCGTGAAGTCTAGTAATGGACTTGACTGGATCTCGTCGTCTTCTTGTTCAGTCGTGAAAGTATTGGCGGCGGGACTTTCGTTGGGCAAGTCGAACGGCGAAAGCGGGAATAGGCGGACAAACTTGTGGCTGACATTCGCTATCGTCAGAAAAGAAGATCATCAAAGCCGAAACGAGTGCTTACCTTTCGGCAACAACGTAGAGCGGTTTGTTGGAGTCCTTTGCGAGAACGGCTATTTGGTATGTTCCCACCTGTTGATAGTCCATCAGTATTTTCAGATAGATTGAACATCATCATGCAATATACTCTGTTAATAATGCCACCACTCTCGGCAACACCCTCCGCGCCAACAAATACTTTATCAACCTTCTGTATGGCCCATCCGACAGCCCCGTCAACAATTACTCTGACGGGAATGCCGTTATCTCGCAAAGTTTTTGCACTAGAGAGACCCTCCGCAGTGGGCCGCGACTCGGTAACGAAGACTCTAAATCGAATATGGTGGCGGGCGGCAAGAAGTAGCAGCTCGGTCACAGCTCGTGAATGTGAGTGTATCAGGATAGTCTACAATAGCACGTTTGGAATTCGGAAACCGTAACTAGCAATTAACAATACTTACATCGTCGTCCTGGATAAACGGCAGACCTAACTCTGCGATCCTATACCGTGAAGCCTTTGCTCTATCCAAGAACAGTCCTCCATTCTTAACTAGATGCCGCCTGCATGCTTCCCAATCCTATAAACTTTAGTAGAATATTTGCATCTGAATCAGAGAATCCACATACGCCATATTCCTGAATATTTCGTAGCACGAAACGTTGAAACATATCGCATCCCGCTGATAGACTTATCGAGTTCTTCACACCTTTCTTCAATTCCGCAACAGCTTTTGCCAATATATCCATCAATTCTGACGCAGTCGTCGCTAGTTATCACTAGTTAGCTCGCTCCAACTCAATAAATTTATGAAGCTGATGCAAAGACTCACGTTCAGTTTGACTTAACAAGACGACCAGCGACTCAATCGCCGCTACCGGCATAGTCATATCTGGATCTTCCCGTAAAAATCTTCTGTATGTCGCCACGATATCAAATCCATTTGATGCGACCGAATCCGGCGGTAGTTTTAATGGAGCTATCAATTGTCAGCTGCTGCACTGGATCAAATCATCAGTCCAAAATAAAGAATATATACTTACTTGTTTCTGATAACGTCATTATGTGTCTACGTCTCCCGCGGGCCTCAATGTGAAACTATGGACTTGTTAAAATATTATTCCACAAGTCAATTTTGCTAGTCTCGAGCCGCATCGACGTTCAGCTTCAAATCTCCGAGTGAGAATCGCAACGCTCACAAATTGCCAACGTTGCTGAACATAAACTGAATATTAAATAAACACTAGGAAGTACAAATTAAAGTATAACTCAGAATATCTACAAAAAATAGTTATTCAACAAAAAAAAAAAAGTTGCACACTCCACACGGGACTCGAACCCGCAGTCTTCCGCTCGCAAACCATCATCTGCTATTAATAGGAGGCGGACGCCTTACCATTAGGCCAATGGAGCTTCAAGCAAATTACATCTTCCAAAAAAAGCATAATAATCTCAGTAATGTGGTTAGGGGTATAAACGTATTTCAGAGTTGAAACATAATTACTGTTTCACGGTGTTGGAAACTTACGAAATTAATGGCAGGCGTGAGGCTAAATAGTTTTATGATACATTGATGGCTTTATTCGAATGAGTGAATTGATAATTAGTCATAAACCTGTAAGTCTGTTTTAACTGCGCGATTCGTACAGGTGCCTCAACATATAAAATAAGCAGTGGCAAGCCAGAGGATGAAGTTAGGCGCTAGATCACAACTTTCTGTGAGACGAACGTTTCAATGATTAAGTCTGGTAGATATCGAAGCTGTAAAAAAATATCTCTCTCTGGATTTGCGGCACAAGTAGTATCCTGGTCCATATAGCGTGGAAACTTAATATGGTCGGGTATCCCATATAACTATCTTGCTCTTGTTTTAGTTGGCGTTCCCGGAAGAATAGGCTGATCCACTGGATGGCAATTGGTACGATTATCTGTCTATAAGCTTCAAGAGACTAAATAAAGTTTGCAGATAGATGCATGGGGTACGGGTTAGACTAAACTTGACATGTGAGGGTCTGATTCTCTCAAGTGCAACTATCGACAGCCTCTTCATATTATAATGGCAGTGACCTATGCAACTTTTATGCCATGTTGAAGAGGTCTAACAACGAGCAAACCGACGGAATGAACAGCAATAGAGTAATTCAACTTGTGGCAAGCTGATAAGTTATGCAGATAACTGCCAGCTGGAGACCATACAAACCTCGATTCACAGTTCGCCAGAAATGGCAGTGAATGTTGTAAACCAACACTTTGCGGAGTCACTCCAGACGACGACTAAGCCCACGATCCGCCAGCGACGTGAAGTAGACTAAATATGAGTAGGTCTTGGCTGTGGGACATGGAGGTCAGGCTTAAACAAAGGCGGGGTATTGAGTGTGTACTGCGCACACATTTTATGATAATTGTGGTGCAAGTCCCACGCCACAGGCGCACTACGTCTGTGCAACCATCAGCCGCATCATCTTTCCACAAATCACTTAACAGCGGACAGATACAAGACACTGCGAAAATGCCCCAAAAAAGCACGTTTCTTTAAATGCGATTATAAAAGGTGCACATACGCTATTGATGGCCGTGGAGGGGCAAGAAACAAGCCCCGTCTCAAGGTCATTCGCTAGAATTTAATTCGTTCCCAAAACCGGAAGACTTACCCGGCCTGTCTGTCATTGACCTAGCCCAGGCCTCAAATCCGAAGTAGATCTTCAATTGTGTTCCGCGATTTTTGACCTGTACTGCCATCGCTCGACAATAGTCTTTTTGCTCCGTGTAGACAATCTGCTCTGTTCACAGACTCTACCAACCTGATTCGTCACCGTTAACGTCTTCAAACCATTTCACTTTTAGATCTATTTTTTTTTGATCGTATCTCTGCTAGCTTTGAGCTACCACCTAAGGTCTGTCTGCATTCCCCCTTTCTTCTGCTCTTTACAATTTTATAATCACTAACTACATTTAGGCGCCCGTTCCAGGAGGCTTGCACAAATGTCGAAGGTCTGTACCCATCTTTAACTCTTGACTTGAATTATTAGTTAGTTTGGCTTTGCCTAATCCTGGCCAAGAGCTGCTTTATAAGAAGTCGTCTGAGCCAGTCATGTACACCGTCTTGATATGATTAAAAGTACTAACCTGCAGTGGCTTTAGTCACAGTTCTTGCAAGAATATAAACTAGTGGTCGTTGGAGGTGGTGGCGTGGGAAAGTCCGCACTCACTATCCAGCTCATCCAGAGCCATTTCGTCGATGAGTATGATCCTACAATTGAAGGCTAGTATTGCGTATATATCCACAGTGTCTGGGAAAACATCTAACAGTATTTTTACAGACTCTTATCGCAAGCAATGTGTTATCGATAACGAGGTCGCTCTCCTTGACGTTCTCGATACAGCTGGACAGGAAGAATACTCTGCTATGAGAGAACAGTACATGAGGGCAGGTCAGGGCTTTCTCTTGGTGTATTCAATAACATCACGATCATCTTTCGAAGAAATACGGACGTTTCAACAGCAGATCCTACGGGTCAAGGATAAAGATTATTTCCCCATCATTGTGGTCGGCAACAAGTGCGATTTGGAAACAGAACGGCAAGTCTCACAACAAGGTACGCTTTTTCCTAAGATGTAGTGCAATTTGCCTAACAGTTCTAACTCATATTCCTTTTACAGAGGGCAAGAGATTAGCGAGCTTCTTCCAATGCAGTTTTATTGAGACCTCCGCCAAGCAACGGGTTAACGTTGACGAGGCGTTCTACAACCTTGTTCGAGAGATCCGACGATATAATCGTGATCAGGTGGTGGGCGGCCCCAATGCTGGTCCCAAAGGTGGAAATGGTACTGCCCATGGCCAGTACAATGGACAATCAGCAGAGCGGAAAAGCAGTAGTAGCGGATGCTGTGTAATCCTTTAGGTCGTTTGTTATGCGGTAATAGTTTGGTAAATCTGTGCTTTGTCTCTTTGGGTAGCTTCATGTCGTTCTCTCTCCCTTGATCTTGCTTATCCAGAATAGTTGGACGGCGTCGGAATGTTTGATTGAGACGGGTCTGGTAATTTACTAGCTCATATTTTCTTGCGATTTTCTTTCCAATGTACCTAACTCTATCAATGTAACCTTGCTGTATACTTTGCCTATGTATTGGCCGTTGATGGAACCGGTTGTACCTATTATTTGGTTGATACCATTCGGATGCAATGTGTATATTTCTACCATTTTGGTGCCATATCATAGTGCTCGTATTCATTTGCAATTATACTTGTTTAATGTGATACTGTGGATCTAATGAAAATTTTCAGCATGTGAATAAGATTGAGATTCAACACATAGATATCATAGATTGGAGGCTAGATCAGATCTTTTGATTTGATGTGGCTGTGCCGAGCGCGATCGGCTAGGAAATGGCGTAGTTAGCAACCCTCATCTCTGCGCATGAATATGTGTCTACAATTTCGGAATATGCCAATTCCATCGCCGTTGCACATTCCGTTCCTCACCACCGCTCTATCTTGGCAGCCAAATTTTTTCTTTCCTCAACGATACTAATCCGTTGGACAAGCGATGGCGTCTATTTTCGACGTTCCGCCGCGTCGAACGCATCCTGAGCCTGTGACCAAGATCAACTTTGATCCTAACAAAGCCGTGCTAACTACTCGGGAATATTCAGATTTATTTTGGTACACGGATGCGCAGCTTACCAAAAAGGACCGACGTGATATTGTCAGTGAATTGAACCAAGAATGGGTTTACCGAGTTTTCGGCAGTTTTGTTGGCGGTATAGGCACTGCCGTCGTGAGTAAGTGTGTATATTGGGCCGCGGGACTATTAACGATGTTTGCTGATGCTGGGTGTAGCGGCTATTGCTATGAAACGGTGGTTTCCTGCCACTAGAATGTCTATGACTGCTCTTGGAGCTATTGTCGGTGCTGATGTTGGGAACGAGGTAACATCTTTGGATTGCGGATCTGTTCGTCTAATGCTGACGATGAACGTATAGGTCGGATACGCTGTTGCATACAGACGCACGTTGCGTGACTTTGAAGCACGTCCAAATTGCCGGGCAATTATCCGTTTAGTCAACTTTCGCCCGACTCTGGGCCTCTGGATCAATTACTATGCCAACGGCAAGCCAAAGCCGATTCTTCAGACTTGGTGGAGAGATTATCAGCTTGGACAGATCGGTAACAAGCGGGACATCAGCGACGAGAAACTGGAGGATGAACAGAATGAAGGTCTCGATGCGGCACCGGAGGAAGTCCCGCCTGCCGCGCGACCCGAACCTGTTCCGCCGTCGTCTTGGGGAATTCCGGTGCAGTCACAGGTCCCGACGGAAGATGCGCTGTCAAGTGACAACGAGCCCTCGAGATACAGAAATTCTCGTCGCGATTTAGATGCGGAATTTTACAGTAACGAGCGTGTTGAATCGCAGGAGGAATTTGACAAAAAAGTCGACATGGAGAGACGGGGCGAAGATCAGCCGGATGATTTTATTACCAGCGAGCGACGGTATTCGCGGTCAAAGTACGACTAACCTTGTAAATATTACCTATATATTTTGTGTCGATTTACTGACTAGTATACGGCCTGTAAATATTATTGAATTATTTTCACTTAATCAAAATACTAAAACTCCAATTCGTCCTTTTTATTCTCGTCTGCCTTTTCATCTATTATAACCGGAATACCCCACTTTTCTATCTTGAGCCCGCTTCTACCGACTTTGAACGCGTAGTCCATTTTCCGTACGAACATGCCACCACGCTCACTAACTATTGGAACTTTTAGAACGTCAATAAAACCTTGATATTTGTTCGCATTATCCCCATCACCAGTACCTGGCGGAGGAGTAGGAATGATCTTTATCACTCCATCCACCACATTTTCGATCCATGGAAGCAGCACACTGTTCCCGCTTCCTGGTTCGTCAAATAAGCCACTGGAAATCGTGATTAGCACTGACAATTGCGACTGATAAGCACGTAGTAGCGCACGTAAAGACATGAGGAATTTCAGTAACTCCGATGGCGCGAAAGAAGTCGCGGGGTTATAGGCCGTCGGGCTCAAAAAGTTGGGCAACACAACACGAATTATTTTCTGAGGATTTGATGATGCAACAATATTACTCAGCTGTGAAATGATAGATGAATAGCTCGTAGGTTCAATGTACTGCAGTACTGGGGGAGGTAGCAATCGTGTTGTGATATTCCAGGTCCGGCAATATGATGCATCTTCTGAATCTTGAGAATGTGCAACCGACGAGACTGCATTCCTATACCGCCACGCTATCTTCAAATCATTGGCCTCTCTTCCTCGATCAGACTGCTGAGAACTAGCCGTTCTAGCCGTTCTATCAGCCTTGTTCCACTCCACCGTCGCAGGGAGCTCGACACCCCACCTTGCACCAGCTCCAACCGCGACGACGACATC